GAGTCAAAGTGAGGTTCAGTGGTGAAAACCAACCAAAACCAACACAAAAGACAATGAAAGCGAGTGGTGGTGTGCCTATGTGGTACCTAGATGGTAGAACCTGTTCTTTGGGAGGGTTTTTGCAAGCTACAACACTCAAAGATGAGTGCTGAGGGTTGGGGGTGCTCCTGACAAAGAGGGAGCAAGAATGTGATAGAAAGCGATAGGGTAGACTGCTGTCAGCCTACAGAAGGATGGATGGTGACTTAATTCGATGTCCTAAGCTGTACTGAGCTCAGGGAGGGCTTGGAGCAAAGTATATGGATGATAGATGATGATAAGTGAAGTAGATGATAGCTAGACCCTTAATAAAGTCTCAACTATTGAAGCTGATGAATGATTTACTGAGAGATGATAAATTGTGAGCAAGAGGGGCTCTCTGATGTCTTCTTTTTTTTTTTTTTGCTATCTAAGTACAGTGATTTATATACAGTACAGGGGCATTGCCTATGGAAAACAAGGTGCAAACACTTGGTAAGTGATTGGTAACTGATGAGTAAGGAATGTAAGCGATGGGTAATCATCTCGGAAAGCATTGGTAAGGATTAGCAAGCCAAAAGGCAAAGAATCAGTAAGCAAAGTCAAAAGATAGATTGGTAAGTATTGGCAATAGGTGAGCCAGAGACAGTCAGAACATCAAAGTATGAGTCAAGTAATGTCAGGAACTGGGAAAGTGCACTGGAATCGCATTAGGGGGAGGCTGTGCATGTCACATCTCAAAGAGATCACTTCTAGGCCAAGGTGGGATGACAGAGAGGCAGGGTGAGTCAGATGTCAACAGGGGTCAAGCTTTGGGGGTCTGTGGGGTGACAGGAGCATAGGGGATCACAACTTTCCCCCCCAAACCATCTTCTCAGTGAAGCAAATAAAAACTTCATGAACAAGGCTCTGTTGGAAGAGAGGATGAAGGGGGAGTGTCTTCTGCCATATCTTGAAACAAGGAGGCAAGATGTGCATCATACTCATCATGGATGCAATCAGGGAGAGTGGAGAACAGTAGATTATACTGTGGCTGTCACAATCTTGGAAGAATGATGGACAAGACTGGTATGAAGACATTGCAGGGAGCAGGGAGGAAGGATCCATATGCTTCTTGGACCAGAGAGACTGAAACGACCACATAAGACCTTTCCAAGCAAATGACAGACCTGAGGTAACCAAAGAATGTCCTCCTGGAGGTCATACTGACAAAAAGAACATGCTGTCCAAGCTGGATGGGCTGAGAGGGGGCAGATGAGGGTGGGATGTACCAGGACACTTCAGGACAGAAGCTGGTAGGAACTCCTGGTAGATATATGTAGCCATGGTCCCTAGCAAAGGGGACAAGCGAAATGACTGATGTGGAGGCAGCCATATCAGAAGAATTAGCAAAATGAGCATCTTTTGGAGGGAGTGCTGTAGAAACATGTGGAGTGCGCAAATCCTTTCCAATCCTGGAAGGTAGGATCGCATGGCTGAGCACTACAAGCAAGTGTGGGAATGGTTTCGGTGTCTGCAGAATTGGTGGAGATACATCGAAAACCAGAATGCCGTACATGGGCACTTAAGGATTTTATTGGCACTTAACTTGCCTCCTCCTTTTTCTTTGGCATTGACAACCTGTTCTTGTGCAAGGGATGACTGCCGACATTGCTGGCTGTCCTTCTTCGCATGAGGGCTATGGTCTTCACCTCCATTCATCAGCTACATCCATGTCCACCTCACCAAACACCTTTGGTGTGTGACAGTGACAAGGGAGCTGCAATCATCAAGCACACCCTCATTGCCCTGTTCCCAGCATCAGCAGAGTTGACTGCAGCAATACAGCCTCTACCGCTCACACAGTTCACGACATACTTTATGGTGCCCTACATAGCGACCTTGCTGATTGCAGATGATTACAGTCCCACAACAGTTGTCAAGGCACACAAGATCATGGTTTCAAGTAGCGATGCGGGTTCCCTCATCCACCCCACAAATGATGACAATACAGAGTTGGAGGAGATATTTCATAGAAACATTGTCACCTTTTGACTAAAGTGACTGGAGCTCCTGACATGTGAAGCAACAAGTGATACCCAGGATGCTGCTCAGGCTCTGCTGGAACTCCAAGGGCAAATGCAGAAGGCATCTCCTACTCCATCATCCTGTGTAGGCTGTGCCTTGACTGACACCATTCACCTTAGCCACGACCTTGCCTCAGAGTTAAATTACTTGTGACAGACAATGATTCCAATCAAGCTGCCAACAAGTTACATTCAGAGCAGGCGAAGGTTAACATTCACTACACACTTTATCCCACTAACATTGTGCCTTACTGACACTACTAACCTTACAGACCACAATGGTCATGCCAAGCAGCAAGTCCCAATCAACAGTGCTGCCAGTGGCCACTGCATGTGTACTACCTTCAATGCTTCCAATGTGTTATACTGATATAGATATCACCACTTACACAGGTCCAGCAGCACGCCCCAAATGCAAGCATAGGTCAAACTGCCAGACTTGTCACATCAGTGAGTATAAGGCAATTCAGTTGTCATACCCCCCTCACCATCCTTTCTGCACTCATGATTCATGTGTGGTCGAATGTACAGGAACACGCTAAGGTGAATGCACTACTCAATCAAAGACTCGGTGAGGCCAACCATGACAGAACATTCATAACTAGGCTGCGCCTTGTCAATCCACTCTCATTTCCTTTTAGCTAACTTAATGTCGATGTGCTGTCTAATCAATGTTAATTTTGCAAGTGAAACAGTACTTTTGTGACTGATGATAAGTGTGCTCTTGACTGAAAATCAGTGCCATTGTGAGTGAAAATCAGTGCCTTCTTCAATGGAAATTTCCAGAAAATAAGTGCCTAACATGACTGGAAATCAGTACCATTTTGACACTGAAAAAACACATCAATGACACTGATGCATGGCACTGGTTATTAGTAGCAAAAATGAAATATCAGTGCCACAATTTGGCACTGATTTTCATCGCATGGAACTGATATGCGGTGCTTTTGGGACTATTATACAGTACATGCGGCACTTGTTTTCAGTGCGTTTACTTCCCTCGGTGTAAGTAGAGTAAACTCGTTGCAGGAACACTTCCGTCTTGTATTTTACCATCTCAGCCGCTCGGCATTGCCGAGAGACGTGCTCTTAGCGGACTTCTCGCCGTACTCACTCTCAAAACCGTCCCGCATGTGCACACAACACAACACTCCGCGATTGCCGTTGAAACACAAAAAGCTGAATCCTCGCAAAGCATGTAGAACACATCCTCTTAGCATACAGCGACTCTATAAACGACCTGTTGTGTATCTTGACACCAGATAACGACAACAACTCGAATCTAGGCTATTCTCATTATGTGAAATGCTAGGCGAGTACAATCGGGATGCTCTGACGGCCTCTGCACTTGATTCCAGCGGTGAAACTCATGAAGTCGCCCTAGACCTAGACGGAGTATGAGAAGCAACGATAGGTGAGGAAGGGGTTATGTGGTATGTATATGTGGCCGTAGAACTGTCTTCACCTCTCAGAGAGTAACAAGACCGTCCATCAATGGAAGGAGCACCGAGGCACATGCTCTAAAAGTTTTTATTTTGATGTTTAGCTGGAAAACTACGTGGTCGCATATGAATGACTATGGCATGAAGATTGATAGATGTCCCATTAGATTGCCATGTAAATTTTATACGAGTGCCTGCCACTTCCATGGCTATCGGAGTCACCCACAGCGCGAAGGACAGGATCTGAACTGGATGGAAGTAGGGGGGGACAAGGTGGTAGCCAGAACGTAGCACTCACTGGTGATGCGGGGCTTGGATCGTGTACTATGGAGAGGTGACAATAGACTTGGCATGCTCAGCGATGGTCATTGTCGACACCACCAGTGGATGTAGTCATAGCACATCAATGCGTGGGTAAGATCTTGGCCCCGTCATTGTGCGGGCGTCTTGGTCAGGTCAATGATCGTTTATATGCCGGGTGCTAATACTCGGGTGGGTTAGCGCAGAGATATGTTACTTGTGGATCTCCCAACTGCACAGCCGAGTATTGTGGAAGTTTTTGGAAACCAGATCCTTGAGAGAGGAGCTGGGGAAACCCCAATGTGTTACAGTGTCTGGTGTGAAGGACGGGGCGAGCATGGAAACACAAAACTGTTGAGAAGATCGGTAGTACGTTTCACCAAGGGCACAACCGGTGCACCTATCAAGCTGGCTTGGTACCGCGGAGAGTATCGGATGAGCCCCCCGGCATTGCTATGAGCAATTGAGAGAGCAAAAGAGGATCGATGGTCGAGTCTTTCTCTCGCGATACATCACCGGGACGCGGCAGACGACGAGAAGAAAAGGGATGGTCCAACAGGAGCTTGATGTTCGTAGTTAACACACGTGTCAGGCTGTGCACTACAGACAGGCACGTTGATTCAACGCCACTCGAATCCGCAGGCCCTTGCCCTGCGTACTTCACCACCATCATCCCCTACAGTCGTAGCACGCTTACTGCTCAAGACATCCTAAGACTTGTTTGCTCTTCTTCACATCGCCATGGCGCCGTGCGCTCTTCGTTCCTGGTGGCGTTCGTTGCGGCGTTCTCAACCTCTGAGTGGCAGTGTTGGTGTGTCACTCCCCACTGAAGCCACTTCATCAGTTGTCCCGGAGACAGTCGTCCCAACACGGGCTTCAGATGATCGCTCAGTTCCTACCGAGGCCAAAAAGCAGATTGATCGCCTCCCTTCTCAAACCCCGAGTGGCAATGCTGGTGTGTTACTAGTTCCGATTCCAACTGAAGCCGTTCCTTCATGTTACTTCTCATGCAGTCGTCTCTACACGGGCTTCAGACGATCGCTTAGATCCTACCGAGGCCAAAAAGCAGATTGATCACATCCCTTCTCAACCCCTGAATCACAATGCTGGTATATTACTCCCCACTGAAGCCTCTCCTTCAGTTGCCCCGGATGCAGTCGTCCCTACACGGGCTTCAGACTATCGCTTAGATCCTGCCGAGGCCAAAAAGCAGATTGATCGCATCCCTCGTTTTCGCATTCTTATCATGGGCAGAGCAAATGCGGGTAAAACAACTATTTTACAACGGGCCTGTAACACTACGGATCAGCCTGAGATCTTCGACGGAAAAGGACAGAAGGTACGTGTGGGTGTGTTATGTACTTTGTACTTATCAACATGTCATTTTGCCAGGTTGATACTGGGGCAGTGCGAGGTTCACTGGGGGTAAGGCTACCACGTGAAATTGCATGGTACTCACGTCAAACTTATGTAGCGTGGCTACCATAACATTGAGGATGAACTAGTGTTTAAAAGTAACCCGCGCTTTGTGTTCCATGACTCATGTGGATTCGAGGCGGGGAGTGAGGCAGAGTTTGATGAGATGAAGAAATTTGTCTCAGATCAAGCTAAGGCCATTAAACTGGAGAGGAGAATACATGCAATTTGGTAGGGATGTGTCTGACAAGCATGCCTGTAAGTGCACTGACCTGGTCTTTGTATTTGATTCAGGTATTGCATTCCTTTGAATGAGAGCCATAGGATGGTCATGGCTGCTGAGAGGAAATTCTTTAATGAGTGTGACACAGGACATGGTATGTGAACACAAATATCACATCACACTTAGTGCAAAGAATGAGGATTTGCACAGTTCCTGTGATTGTGTTACTAACAAAGGCAGACACCTTAAATCTTGATGCAGTTCAGGAGCTTATGAGAAGGGGGTTAACTGTAGATGATGCAATGAAAGAAGCACCAGAGGTAGAAAAACAGCTGCAAAAGGGCTGTTTGGAAAAGATCAAAGGGTGGCTGAATGAACTGAAGTTTCCACCTCAAAACTACCTGATGCTCACTGGTAAGTAAGCCATGAATAAAATAACTGTGGATCAACATGTGTCTCTTCAGGCATGGAACAGGAGAGTGCAGATTGTGAAGGGCTATTGAAATGCACAGCAAATGCTTTGACAGAGGGAGGGCTGCAAGGACTGCTGATATCATCACAGCAGTCAAATTGGGACTCCACATGGAATTTGCCATAATGAAGTGAGTGGTAAAAATCAACTCCTACAGGGTGCTGACTACAGAAAGGACATTGAAGAGGAGCATGAACAATGTGGCTGATCAGATTGGACTGGACAACTTAGCACATGTGCTTGCAATATGGTTCCCATTTGTAAGCAACCAGTGTTTTGGGTGGATAAGAGGCTGATTAGGTTATAGATGGTGTGTGAAATTCTGCAAGTGCAAGTATAACTGATGCTGAAGGTGATTGTTGTTGTTGTGTTGAACTGGGGTTTACAGCAAGTGAGTGGAGTGATGGCAGATGGTGGTGGATGCATGCTGACATGTTCACTCCCACCCTGTTGGACTGGGGTTCATAGGGAGTGAGTGGAGTGATGGCAGGTGGTGGTGGATGCATGCTGACATGTTCACTCCCACCCTGTTGGACTGGGGTTCATAGTATGTGAGTGGAGTGATTGCAGATGGTGGTGGATGCATGCTGACATGTTCACTCCCACCCTGTTGGACTGGGGTTCATAGGAAGTGAGTGGACTCATGGCAGATGGTGGTGGGTGTATGCTGACATATTCACTGCCACCCTGTTGGACTGAGGTTCATAGTATGTGAGTGGACTCATTGCAGATGGTGATGGATGCATGCTGACAACTTCACTCCCACCCTGTTGGCCTGGGGTTCATAGGAAGTGAGTGGAGTGATGACAGATGGCAGTGGATGCATGCTGACATGTTCACCCCCACCCTGTTGGACTGGGGTCCATAGAGAGTGAGTGTTGTTGACATTGCCTATCTAGCATGCTTTTCACAAGCTCCTCTCATCAAATAGATGGTGAGCTTGATCACTGCATGTATCTTTGCAATATTGCTGAGGCATTGTATTAGGATGTAGGTGCAGGTCTTCCCATGTACTCTGCCTTTCTCTTATTTCCCCTCCTGTATCTCTCTCAGCATGTTAGTTGTCATAATCTCTCTGAAATCCTGACCAAGGTTAACCTATTTCCAGAATGTATGGTTTCTGTTCAATATCCTGCACTTATCCATTGCCCATATGTTTTCCAGTTGGTTCATCACTCTTTTTCCTAATTCAACATCAGTCACATTTTTCCCTTGGTATGTTGTCAGGTGGTATGCTTTGATTCTTTTTTTTTGCCAACTGCCTATGATGTATTGAATGGGTTGGTCATAGGAACCCATCAAACATTGCTGCACTTCTATCTCCATCCCTACATTGTCCACATCACAACAGCATCCACTGAAGGAACTTGCAGAACATGGCATTGGTAAATTCTCTCCTTGATGCTGCTTTAATCTGAACCTTATGTTTACAGGGTTGTGTAATTGTCTTTGAATACTTATTTTTCCAGTTGCAGGTCAAGGATAGGGGTCATATAGCAAAGGATTTGCAGCAGGATCTGACAGTGATTGTCCAAAAGTATCAGAAATCAGGTGTACAAGAAATTGTTAATGCATGCATTGAAGAAGCCTTCCAGCAGCATGGTGAAAGGGTGGATGATTTATGCCCCATACTTGTGGGTATAGCACAGGCAAACCAGATGCATAAGACATATTCTTTACCACAACTGATGGAAGTCCTATTTGAATTGTCCACAGCAAAGAAATTCCTGGAATGAACAAAAGTGAAGTTTAGCTCTTATGTACTTCACTATTCTTGGTGAGTCCCTTCATTTCCATCTACTAACCAATATGAAGATTTGATTTGCAGCATCGCAATGCCTACCAGTGTCTTTTTGTGAAATTCCCTATTGCTGTGGAGAATCATGTGAAATTTGGAACCTGCTTGTTATTGTGTACATTCATGTCTTCTCATATGCTTCTGTGCAACCTTCAAATTTGAGACCTGATTTCTTGCATGTCAGTGCTTGGGAATTCATGCTTCCTTTGTATAATCCCATAAAGATTGCTGGAATATAGCAATTTATACATCATTTTCTCCAGTCCCATATACATCCAAACTGCCACCAGAATGTCACATTTCTCACAAGTTTGTCCAGTGGTATTAACTTTTGAATCATAAAACATCCATGTGCATACTCTTAAAAGGGGATATTCACTATTCATGGAGTTATTATTCTGAGATGTTTTCAGCAAACAAACTGTGGATAAAGCCAGAAGGCCAATGAAGTCTATGTATGCTCACAAATATGAGTAGCATGTTGGGGTATGGGACTATTGCTTATCATCAATTTGTATGGTATGTTCAATATTCAATCTCCACTGCAACATGTCTAGTGTAGGTACCATATGCTATTCACACTGTTGTAAGACATAGAGATAAAGCTTATTCACAATATTTTCTGAAGCCTTGTATACATAAAGCATTGTGTGCACTGAATGCTGAAACCCCAAGATGACTACTTGTTCAGGAGGAAATTCTTGCTGGGACTAGCACACCCAATAGTTAAGAGTATCAAGTATCTTTGAAGTTTGCAGAATATCAGCTGAGCACTCAACAGTCAAGGAGATCCTTGAAGAGGAATGTTGCATGGAAATGGTGCAGGAGGCCATAAGCATGCACATGAGAATGAGCCATGCAGGCTTTGGTGGGAAGCCTCCCAGGGATGAAGTGGTTCACACCCACACAGCAAGAGGAGTGATCAAGACTCTTCACTAATGAAAACTTTAAGTACATAAAAGAAGACAATACCATTTATTGAAGAAAGACAAATCTTCCAATGATGAGCAACAGATTCCTGAGGAAGGATAGTGCAGACCAGCAATCTTGTCAATGAGAACAGGATCACTTGTATGGTAGGGGGAAACAACCCCAGAAGTTCCTAGGAGGGATCACCTGCTTCAATTGCAATGAGGAGGGCCATATGGCTCCTGATTGCCCCTTTCCTCAAAAGGATAAAGGCAAAAGTGCAACAAATCTGTGACTGTTCATAGTCAATGTCCAGAAGGGCTCACAATATGAGCATCTACATGTTACTGCTTGATGGTCAAATGGGTAGTGTAAAGTATTGTACTGAGATGCCTGCACAGAAATGAAAGACTAAAGGGAAAGGACTTGGGCAAAAAACCGAAGGTTTTTCCAGCCCTTGGCTATGACCTGAGGATGTCTTCAAGCTGAGCTGTGTGGGAGGGCTGGGTGCTGAACAGGTCAGCTTTGACAGGGCATCTGTCAAGCTCAAAGCATCAGGCAAACAGACTGGACACAGGCTGCTTTGCATGGGCTGTGAGAGAGAGTGGTGGGTGGGTGCAAAACAAAGGCAGAGAGTGAGTGGACCAGCTTTTCTTGGGAAGTGAGGTGAGTGGCAGGAGCAAGAAAGGTGGCACCACCTTGCTTCCCACACCTAGACTATATTCTCAGTATTCTATGTGCCTCCACTACTGAGAATCACCATCTATGCATTACTGCTCAATGGTCAAATGGGTAGTGTAAAGTATCATACTGAAATGCTCATGTGGAAATGAAAGACAAAAGGGAAAGGACTTGGGTGACAAACTGAAGGTTTGTCTGGCCCTAGGCTATGGCCTGAAGATGTCCTTGAGCTGAGCTGTGGTATTCAAAAGGTAGGAGTTAGCAACACATCCAGCAAAGCTTGAGGCCCAAAAAGGGAAGGAGCTATGCTACTCACTGTTTAGCATACTGGTAGGAGTGTGTAGTGTTTGAATTTGTCTAGTATTACTGGGTCTGATTGGAGAAAAGGCACTGGTATTAAGGCATGGTGGCAAAGGTAGAGCATGAAGGAATCTCCAGTCCACCTTCCCATTGTCTTGACCACATCGAAAGGAACTCCATTCAGTAGGTAGAATAGGGTTCCTCCAATGCACAGGATATGCCCTTTCAGCAAGGGGATCTCTTTGTGAGCTTTGGAGATTGCTGTGATCTTCATTACCTCAGTTTTTGAGAGGGGAAAAATACCTGTGGTCAGGTGATGCTGGGTGAACAAATGATCATGTTCATCAGCTGGGTTCAGACAGAGGTGGTTTTCTAGAGTGTGTAGGGGGTCTGTCATTGTTGAGGCTTGGTGTGGCATGCACTGGACTGTTTCTCCTTTGGGGTCACATTTCATGGTGGGGAGGTGGAATATTAGGATGGGGAGGCCATTGTGGTTTTGCATGAGTCTGTATCCTGCTCAGGTGATATGTTTGTCAGGCTCAAAGCCCCATGAACTCTCTGAGTCTGGCTATGCAGTAAAAGGAGATTACTAAGCACACAAAAGTGACTGCATCACATGGGTCTTTGTGGTTGAATAGGCTGTGGAAGACTGCTGAATTATCTACCATGAGTGGAGCTCACCAAGGGCATTGTAGGTTAGCTAAAGAGCAAACTCTGGGAGTGCAGGAGACTCCTAATGGTAGATAGAAATGGGTCCAGTTCAACCCAGAGGAGCTCTGCTTGGAAATGGTGAAAAGGGTGGAAGGAAGGGATTGGAGTTGGACAAAATGAATGGCATGGTGAAAAGAGTGGATAATGGTGTCTGGGGGTCATCTAGGAGTACCTTCATGAGGGCCTGTTGCTGTGTTTCATTTGCAGTCTGATTTCACTTCCATGTTATTGTGTACTGTAGACTCTACACTAGTGCCCAAAATTTGCTGACTAAAGCTACCAAGAATGTGCCACAAAGTGAAGGTTAACTATCACTAATGTAAACCAAAGGAAAAATGCAATAGAAAAGATACAATGACCAAACCTGCTTAGTAGGGAGTACCTATTCCCTACAGCGGTTGAGCATTTTTGGTGTAAGTCTTGTGGCACCTTCCAGTATTGCTTTGTACTCAGCTTTGTTTATGTTCCAGCTGCAACCATGGATGGTGTGCCAAGCTCTGGTTCCAGCTGCATAATTAGCCAGGTTTGAAGTTTGAGCCAGAGTGAGCACCAAGCTAGCCAGGAAAGCAGTGAGTGTGTTGGAGGAAGTTGGGCATCTGCCCTTGTCCAGGATATTGCTCAGGTTGTGAAAGACATGAAATACTAGAAGGCATGTACCATATAGCTCCTTGGTGGAATCTGTCCATGAAGCTCTGATTACATTGGTTATCCTGTCTACTGTGGTCTGTGCAAGGGGGGAGAGTGCTCTTGAATGAGGTGGGAGGTGTGTGGGACACTGTAAGGTGAGTATGTCTTTGGCTAGGCAGTGGGGATGGAGGAGTGAAAAAGCAGGTGTGAGGTGGGGGTGGAAAGGCTTAGGTACCATTCACCCTGTGAATGTGAAGTCCAAGTTTTTGACTTTGGCTTCAGTTAAGAGGGTCACATGATGTGAACTATCATGTGCATCCACCTGAGGTACACAACCAACTATTGTCACTTTAGTTACTGTGATTGACAAATGTCTGGCTCATCTGCAGGATCAACCTGCTCATTGCACATGCATGGCCTTACAATAAACCCTCTAGACCCATGGAATTCCCTGCCTCCCCCAGGACCTGCAAGAATGCTGTGGTATGGACAACAGAGGAGGAAGGTGCATTACTTGATTTCCTGGCCTCTCATCTTTCACAGGCTGGCAATGGAAATTTTAAGAAGGTTACATGGAATGCCACAGCAGCCCACATGGCCAAGAATTATCCAGCTTAAAAAATCCTACTATGCCATCACTGATCTTAAATTTGTGGCCTCTGGCTTTGCTTATGATGAAAAGCATGGTGTGATGATCTCATGATCCCACTGGACAATGCCAATCTTTGGGATCAATATGTAAAGGTAATGTTTTTTTTTCTTCCTTGTCAGATCATCCACTAACATCTAGTCAGGTGCACAAAGACACAAAGCTGTTTCACAATTCTGGGCTCCCCCATTTCATGAGCATAGAGCTTCTTCTCCCCTCACAGCTGAGGTTGGTTTGTCTACTGGCCACACACCACTACCACACCTTCTATGGCCATGACCTTTGCCTTTGATACTCCTGCCTCTACCACAGCCCCTGCCACTTCAACTATTCCTACTCCCCCTCCCTCCCCCTCCCTCCTTGACATGATGCACACTCTCAATGCACACCATTGCAAGGATATGCAGTCCATAGATCCAAATTTCATCCCCCCCTTTGTACCATCAAGCTTTTTGTCACATGTGTCAGCCAGGTCATCATCACCATCAGCCATCACCAGCATCAGCCACAGAAAAAGGAAAGCCAAGTCCATTGCCATGTCTGAAGGTGGATCAAAGTGCTCTTGCCCCCCATTGGTGTCACACACCAAAGGTGTTGTGGACATGGTTACAGCTGACTCTGCTTAACTCATCAATTAGTTGTGCACAATACCCATGCCATGCAGATGAAGACTAAAGGCCTCATGCATAGAAAGACTGCTGGATGAGAGTA